TTGACAAGAGACTGTCTCATTGTGTAATCAGGGACTTAAATATACTCTAGTTTCTACTTGTTTGATGAGGAACTTAGTTTAGGGAGAATGACATCCTACAGTGTAAGAGTTGGGGAAAACCGTGATCCACAAGTGAGTTAAGTAACTTTGGCCAGGTAGCTTCTTACGCATGAATGACTAAGGTAGTCACATCACATGGATGATCCCAGTATGTAGTAGCTCATGATTTCATGTCAGAGGCATAAGAAGAATATAAGAGAGATATGGTCATACATATTATGATTAAGAGCACATGCTTGTTTGTTTTGTGGCCCTTATGATAAATTACCATGAAAACACTTGTTTAGTATTGTTTTAAATGCAAAGAGTATTAGCATGTTGTTATAGCATGAAATTGTAAAACTAAAGAATGAATTACACTTGAGAAGTGTTTTAGTGAATTGATGTTTTCATATAAATACGAAATTATATTGCTATTTGCATTTAAATTGATTGACATGCATTAGCATAAGTTAAAAATACCTTAGTTATTGACCCTTTTCTCTTTAATATTACAGAAGCTAGCTTATTAGGACAAGACTGAGGGAAACAATTAGAGGCTTAGGATTTCCATCCTAAAACTGTAGGCCTCATTTATTTTGAGTATAATATGTGTATAATTCTTTTGATATTGCTAATTAAGACAATTCATATTTACTTACTTGCACTATATGAATGTTAAGTTAAATTGTGTATTTTGGAGCCTTATGTTGTGAACGTACCAAATTGTGAAATTTAGAAAGGGCCAAAATACTAGTGTAAGTGAAAAGTGAGAAAAATGTGTTTGGTGTGAATGATTATGATAATTATGAAATTGGGCTCCCTCTTCTATTTTTATGATTAAGGGGTTGAATGTTGAAAATGTGTTAGATATAAGTGAGATGTATTGTATTTGTGTAGTTTATTGAGTGTGATTTAGGGTGAAATTTAGCCTTTTGGCACTTGAAATGAGATTTGGGCACCCAAATTGTATTTGAAATGTGAAACAGAGTAAGTTGAGAAAGGGGTGTTCAATTTTTGACTGAAAAATAATTTAATTGTGAAGCTAGTGCCATTAGTTGGGGTTAGGAAAGAGCTCTATGGAGACACCTAAATTGACTTAATTGAATGTCAGATGGAGAAATGAGATGAGTTAGAAGTCCGCTACGTCATGACGTATGATACAGAGACAAATGTGCCATGACACGCATACAATAAGTCGTGACGCACCTCTATTTTCTACTGCACAATTTTTAGTTTTTAACTTTGTTGCAAATGCTTTGATTTGTTTAAGATCCCATGCTTCCGCATACATCTTTAACTCTGATTTTTGAATTTTAAAGGTATATTGAAGTGTTTAAGTTTTGAAAATTTGAAACCCCCAATTTGCAAAACTTACAAACTAGGTAATCCTTTTGGATTGGTCCTTTAATTACCTTGATATTGGACTTAAGTGCATATTAGTAAAGAAGACCAAACATTAGGATACTGATGCTCTTGGTTGACAATTTTGTGAGTATTTTTGTCTCTTTGCCCTTTTTTTTTGAATGCATTTGTACTTGATAATCATAACAAATTACTATTGTAATGTTATATTGATACTCTCTCTGGCTCTATTTGTAAAGCATAGAAAAATAATTTTTTTGGTTTTATTTTGGTTAAAATATACAAAACTCATATAAAAAAAATACAAAACTCTAATGAACTTTGACGCAGTTGCACAGAACGTCCCCCACCTTTAAAAATTTAATATTAATCTCTCTAACATCTTAGCATTATTATTATTTTATCATAGACTCCCCTAACATTATTTTTTAATTATCTTTCTAACATTATTTTTTGATCATAGACTCCCTGACATCTTATTATTACTTTTTATTTTATTTTAATGATATTATTAATCTTTTTATCAAAAAATTATCTTTCTAACAGAAATTGCCATGTTATATTAAGAAAAGATATATAAAAACTTACAAGGCATGCCATGTAAGCTAAAAATAACTTTATAAAAATTTTATCTATAATTTTTTTGGTTATTACTCATGCATTTTTTTTGTTTTAAAGGATAAATTTTTATTTATATGATTCTTCTTTAAGTTGTGTTAAAAATTAATTAAAATATTTTTACTATATCAGGTGTCATGTGTGTCTCATTAATTTGATATGGCAAACACTATTAATAAGATAATCAAGTTATTAATGATAGGAGGCATTGAAAAAATAGATTAGAGATATTAATTTTAAAGATTGAAATATGAGGAGAATTATATATAACTACATTAAAGTTTAAGAAGTTTTTGCATATTTCAATCTTTTATGTATAAATGATGTCATTAATTTTTTTATCAAAAAAATAAATCTTTTAATTTTTTATATTTTGACTCACTTAAAACTTAATCTTTTAACTATAATTCATTATAATTCAATTTTAAATTTTTGGCTCACTCGTTACTTATTCCTCAATTTTCTTGCTGTGGATAAAGTTTGTTCTTATCCTTCATAAGTCATATCATGTAAGCGCCACATCAGATCTCAAGTTTATGTAAGTGCCACATCAGATAATGAATGAGCCTTAGGGATGTGATAGAAACTAATTTTTTATAACGAAAAATGCTGACTTAATATTTAATATTGTTTAAATTAAATATTCGTAAAAAAATATTTGCAGAATTGATTAGGGCTTGTTTAAGGGGTTCTCATATTTCTCTTCATTCCCTTGCGTCGTCTTCATCTTCATCATCTTCTTGTGCAGAACATTCGAGCGAAAAAAAAAAAAAAAAACTGCGCTTTCATACTAGGAAGAAAACACATAGATTTGATGCAATTGCACAGAACTTCCTTTATTTTTAAATGTTTAAAATTAATTTTTTAATGTCTTTTTATCATAAACTCTCGTAACATTATTTTTTTAATTAATGAGATACAGATAACACCTGACATAGTAAAAATATTTTAATTTAATTATTTTTAACACAACTTAATAAGATAATTAAGTTATTAATGATAGGAGGCATTGACAAAAAATAAAAAAAATTAAGGATATTAATTTTAAATATTAAAAGGTGAAAAGAATTATACATAATTGTATTAAAGTTCAAGAATATTTTTGTATATTTCATCCTTTCATTTATAAATGATGTCATTAATTTTTTTTAATTTTTTAATTTTTGACTCATTTAAAAATAAATTCTTTAATTATGACTTATCATCAGTCTTAAATTTTTAACTCATTCAAAACTTAGTTCTTAATTTTTTCACTATTAATTAAGTTCGTTCTTATCCTCCTTGAGTCATCCAATGTAAGCGCCTCATCAGATAATAAATGGAGATGTGATGGAAACTAGGGCCATACAAAAGACATGACAGTAATGAATTTTATTCTAATCTGAAGTTCGGTCTTTTTTATGAAAAAGATTGGATTAGATAACCCATAATCTAATCTTATCCAGTGATAATTCAAAAATTAACAATAGTGAATTTGTTCCATAAGACTGTAAGACTGGTCTTGTCAGTCTAGTACTCACCTAGCTTTTTTTTTTATTCTATGAGAGGTAATAATTTATTTCAACATAATAAATTCAACTAAAATTATAAAAACATTTATAATAATAATAAATCCATAATAATTTTCAACAATAAAAAAAATATTTCTGTTATAGTTTAAATGATTTAAATTTATAACTTAAAAAAAAAACAACACTCAACAAAATTCAATAACATTACATTACAACAACAATTTAGAAACAAACTCAACAAATCTTCATATAATCATCTCCTTAGCATCAATTACACTTCAAACATTTTTCAAAAATAAATTAATTATAATTATAATAAAAAAATTAATAGGACTAAACTAGATCAAGTGGTCCGGACGTCTAATCTCTTATCCAACCCAACCCGAAGAAATAGTCTGTTCTTTTTGCTCTTGAAGGACCAATGTCTATATAGACCAAATAGAACTGAGATCATTTCGGGTTAGATTAAAGCAGACAGAACTGAAAGACTTTTGCATAGCTCTAATGAAAACTAATTTTTTATAAAGACAAAAGCTGATTTAATATTTGATATTATTTAAATTAAATATTCGCAAAAAACTATTTGCAGAATTGATCAGGGCTTGTATGAGGGGTTCTCACATTTCTCTTCATTCCCTCGCGTCGTCTGCAAGTCTTGGGGAGAACATTAAAAAAAAAAAAGAAGAAGAAGAAGAAGCTAAAAGCAGGTGGAAGAACCCTAAAAGCAAAGCTATCCCTAACTAAAATAAGAACAAAAAAAAAAAAAAGAAAGCTTGATTATTGAAAAATATCATGATTATTCGCTGTATTTTTTTCTTCTTTGCCTCTACAGTTCTCGACTTCTTCTTTGTCGTCCTCGACCATTCTCTTCCTCTTCGCCTTCGCACTTTGCCTCTCCTTTGTTCGTTTTTGTTTGCGTCTTCTTCTGCAGTTTTTCGAGGTAGGATACTGCAGCAAACCGTTTTTGCCACGTAAGATGACCCAGTGATTCCTCAAACTGAATTATAAATCATAAAGACAAAATTATTAAAAGTTGAAAGATTAAGGACTGAGTTTAACGTTGGTTAAAAGTCAATGAAATGAATTATACAAGTCAGAATTAAATTTTAAATGAGTCAAAAACTTGAAAAATTACAAGGCCAATTTTTTTTTATTTTAATCATAATTTTTTTACCTTATTAAATTTTTTGGAGGGAAATTAAAAAAAATAAAATTAAAAATTTATTAAAACTTTGAGATAAAATTAACGAATTCCTTGATTTTGGTAAAATTCTTAAGTGATTTTCAAATAATAAATGTTCATATTATTAATTATGAGAATAAGAAAAATCCAAACAAACGAGGTTGACAGTTGACGGTGGTGCAAAGGTCCTTACCCACTCGTGCTCTTGCGTGGCGGTTTCCTGTTTCTGATAATTGATATCTTCATCAACCTTCATTCCTCTCTCGCTTGGCTTCTCGGTAACTTCATTCCTTCTGAATACATATTCAACCCTTTCGTTTTTCGCTGTCCTTTTCCATCCTTATCGGACTCTTTCTCGCCTTATCGTTCTCTCGCGTCCATTCAAGACTCTTTCTCTCTTTACTACCTGTCTTCCACAGTTCCACTTCGTCCTCATTCTTGATTGTTGCTAGGTAAGGCATGATTTGATCACGCTTTTGAACAATTCTCTGCTGATTTCTTTATCGTAAAAATGAAAGAGCCTATTGTGAATTTGATCTCCTGCTCAGCCTTCAATTTTACTGTTGAATTTGGTCCTTTTCAGCTTTCGCGCTGGTGCAGGTTTCCTCCCGTTTGCGGTTTTCCTTTCTTTTATTTACAGTCGGGGCTTTATTGGAGTTTTCATTTGATAAATTTTCTGTTGTGTTGTGAGTCCTATCATATGCACTGGGATTTTTCTTTTGTTTTTGTTTTTGTTTTATTTTGTCGTTTTTAAGTTTATTCGCTTACTTTGATTTCCATCATTTAAATTATTGATGTATTTATGTGCAGGTTGTTTTTTTAAGTTGATTACAAGTTGCTATGGCTGAAACCCACAGGACTGGAAGTGCAAGCTCGAGCTCAAGTTTGAATAGCAGCTTGCAGGATACCGAGGAAGACCGCACCCTTGCAAGCATATTAGCTCAAAAGGAAAATTCACAAGCTGACAATAGGCTTGGGAAACGACTATCCCATTTGGATTCTATTCCGGTACGATATTTGCATGTCTTTGCCTTCTTGGGGAACGGGGTTGGGTTCTCAATAGAATAGTTACTTGGTTCCATCTCTGCAAATGCTTTAATGCTCAATCTCAACTTCAATCTGGCTACAAATTAAAAGTTGGTTATATGTGAAACGTGTGGTGGACAATTATCCTTGAGAAAATATTGCACCAAGACCGTTTTCTTCTGCACTTATATGTTTCTCAACAATGGAGACTCAATAATAAGTTTCCAGGTTAAGTGACCTATGAATAATACTAATTCATACATTGTTTTGACTATATGGGAATTCCTGTCAAATTATATATCATATATTTATATAAAAATCAGTCAGTAAACAACAAAATTATTGTATAGAAAAAGGTGGACTATTGAGACTCAATTAATGGTAGTGACTTTTTTATTTGTTTTTTTTTTTTTGGGGGGGGGGACCGGCAGAATGTGGAAGCATAATGAAAACATTTGGAGTCATTTGCCTGACAAAGTTTGGGTTCATGTCCTATTCTGAATGATTTTGGGTTCTTTTGTATCTTAGGTCATCAATTTTTTTTTTTTTGGGTGTATGTGATGTACTCTCTATTAATTACTATTTTAGTCATAGAGGTGTCAGTCCTGCTATCCGTTTTTACAAAAGGATAGGAAGGGTGTGAGTCTACAAACTCAACACTGTCTCTTGAGCCCCCTTGTTTTGTTTTGTTTTTTTTTTTTTTTTGGGGGGGGGGGTGGACAAAGGGAATAAGAATATGTGATGTGCAGGTATGGATGCATATGGTAGAGATTTAATCATGAGAACTAGTGATACTTTCTCCACTTCAAATAATAGAGATTTTTGACTTCTGGAGTGAGGGAGGAAGAGGCAAAAATTAACTTAGCTATAGATAAAAGTAAAATATCTTCTTAATATTATAAACAGTCAAATGAATCAAGAATGTTAAAATGTATCATAAAACTCAGAACCTGTTTTATGCAAATTTATAACCTGGATGGAACTTTTAAAAGGTGGGATCTACAAGTATTGAGCTAGTGTTCTTAAATCCTTTCAATTTTATATTGCATTGCTACATACAAGGCTGTTCACTGGCAATTTTTTTTAATGTAATTAATCTACCTATATCAATTTATTGAGCTAATGTTCTTAAATCCATTCAATTTATATTGCATTGCTACATACAAGGCTGTCCACTGTCAATTGTTTCAATGTAATTAATCTACCTATATCAATTTACCGCTCCAACCCTCCTACCCTTGTAAGTAAATGTGCTTTCTGCAACTATATGCTCTTACCTGACCCGGGCCAGAACACTAATTCAAATATGTTGACAGCACACTCCTCGGGTTAATGGAGAGATTCCTGATGTGAATGACGCTACATTAGATCACGAGAGGCTGTCTGAAAGGTGGCATATGCTTCTTTGATGCACAATTTCCATTAATATTGCTTAAATAATGCAGCAAATAACTCCCAGTTTCATCTCTGATTTTTTTTTTCCTTTGCAAGATATTAGAATTGTTTTTTATTTATATATATGCTTTGCCAATTGAAGTTTAATCTTAATAGTATACTTGTAAAAACATACTTATTGAGGGCATGATTGGTTAGGAGCACAGAGAGCGATTTCTTTTCTATCTTCTTTGTGAATGTATTTTATGTTCTTATAATCATTACTTAATTGTATTCTCTGTGTGCCTGTGGGTCTCTTCTCTCTGTTTTTTTTTTTAATAATTTCTTTTAAAGTCAGAACACAAAGAGTATTTTCTATTTTCAAAATCATTTTTTTATTGTATTACATTCCATTTTGACTATCAAAAAACCTCTCAGTCTTCTCAGCCTTACTAATTACTATATGATGATGAAGTGGGATGGAGACATGAGTTTTTGTTTTTGGTTGTTAATCAGTTGCGATTATTTTCACAAATACTTGGTAGAAGTGCTGAGTAATGTTCACTCTACTTTATTGAGAATGTTGAGGTTAATAGGATATGGAATATTCTAATTATGCTGGTGTAATGACATAAATTGCTTACAAGGTATTTTGGTTTATTTAATGATTATATCCATCAATTTCTCCAGGTTAGCTGCTTATGATTTAGCAGAACTCCAAATCGAGGGTGATGGAAATTGTCAGGTTTTGAACTTCAAACTTTTTAATACGTTGGCTTGTATCTATCCCTTGGTTGGGTGCTTTAATTATACTTACCATATTAAATATATTCTGTGAAATATTACTGGGCAGTTTCGAGCCTTAGCAGATCAGTTATTTCGCAACTCTGAGTATCACAAGCATGTAAGGAGGCAGGTTATTAAGCAGGTAGGGTATAGCTGTTTTTTTTTTTCCCCTTGGGTAACTCTTCCAGTGCATTCACTTTGGTGGTTATTTGAATCTTTTTTAAGTCAATACATGATAACATATCAATGTAGGCCTTAGTAGATAGTTTCCTCCTAGAAGTTGCTGTTCTGATAGTTGCTTATCTTCATTTCTTACTGTAACTCTTTTGTTGATCGTATCATGGTGGTTAGTCCAATGTATTGTAAGAGAAAAGAGAGAAAGAAAAGCAAATATAACAAGAGGCAGCTAGTGGTTTGAACATATGATACTAACCCTAATCCTTATTACAAGGCCACTGCTCATGGTCCTTAATATAAAGTCCTTTATGCAAAACGATACCCCCCCCAACCCCCAAAAAAGTCCTTTGCATTGATATTCCCTAACTCATAAAGTAAACTCCTAACTAACCAAACAATGTCCTCTAATCATTAAGGGTAATTTTGAAATTTTAAAAGCTCTAACTAGTTTTAATAATCTACTTACAGTAGTTAATAGGTCCTCGTACTAAGGGCCAGAGGTAATTCTTAAATTTTGGTGCAGCTTTCCTCTTCCTTCCACGGTCCTCGTCCCTTGTTTATCTTCGTTTGTGTCAGCCGAGTGTATGGTTTTAAATTTGTATGTGGATAGATGTTTTCTTCTGTCTAATTCCATATTGATATTCTCCTTCTTAAATTTTCTATCTCTTGTTTCTTCAGCTAAAGCATTTCAGAAAGCAATATGAAGGTTATGTACCAATGGAGTACAAAAGCTACCTGAAGAAGATGAAAAAGTTAGAAATCAATTGTGATCAATTTTGGTTTCCTTCCTGCTAAATTATAGATCATGTAATACCGAGGGTGAATGTTAATTTGATATTTGAACATTGTTTGCCTATAGATCAGGGGAGTGGGGAGATCATGTAACTCTACAAGCAGCCGCAGACAGAGTAAGTTGTCTAGTGTTGATCTTATCTTAAGCAAACTTATCGTACTGATTAATTAACTACCATTTTTATTTATTTTACTATTATAGTATCATATGATTTAAAAGCACTTTCCTTGTAAAATTAGCGGGAAAATAATAATTACCCATATGACCTACTATTACCCTAAATAAAGGGACAAGTAAGGTAGAGGAAAACATGAGAAACAGGCTTGAGATTGACGTGTAAAGTTCAACTCAGGTAGGAAAAGCCGCATAGATCAAGAAGTAAATTAACCTCCCTCACTTTGTCATAATATTATTATTTCTAAAGGTAATCAATGTGCTCACAGATTCATATATACAATTTTTTTTTTGGGGTTATTTACAATGAGCAGATATGTGTTATTGCTGTTAGTTAGTTAGACCCCCTTTCATTCTTCTTCTCTTCTCTCCCATCCTTCTTTTTCATAACATCATAATAGGAAGTTGTTTACTTGTAGGCAGATCCTTATGATCTGAGAGGTATTCTAAAAAGTTGAACCTGTAATCTCGACTAAGTTTACTTCCTATTTCACTATTAGCGGACTAAAGGAGAAAGAAATCGTAACTACGACCCATACTATCAAGATTATTTAAAAGTGCAAAGAAGTTTTCAACTCATAATTCTCATTTCTAATTAACACGTGCTTCAGTCAAGTTGCCCTTCTTCTTTCTATTTCATAGGCTGGTTCTCCCCATGTTATTGTTAGCTCCCATATGAATTATAATAGACTGTGAGTTTGCATTTATTGCAAATGATTCATAGACCTTGTTGCGTCCTCTCTTATCAATTGAATGTGATTCAACAAAGATAACACTCGACTTATAGGCTAAATCCTGCAGTGGGTGTACTTTTGAGTCAGTTTCTTGCTAAACAACCTTTCCCATATTGTTACAATTGACTTCTAACTATTTGTGTCTTCTTGTACAGTTTGGTGCCAAAATTTGTTTAGTCACCTCGTTCAAAGACACATGCTATGTTGAGATACTTCCCACTGACAGAAATCCCTCTAAAGGCAAGTATTGCAAGTGTTATTTTGTTTAACAATTAGTTGCCTCTATCATGAACTCTAGCTCACACACATTTTATCAAATAATTTGGTTCAAGAATGTTATTATCTCTTTAGCAAGTTTGGATCATGTATATAAAATGTTTAAATTATTATTCTTCTTGTGAGTGATTTAAGTGATGTGATATGGATAGAAGTACAAGATGCGTTAAACGGTTAATGTCGTTGTCAAAGTTTAAGAGTTTCCCTCTTAGTAAGTAATAACATCACTTAATTAAGTGTTATAGGTTTGTGTGTTTTTGTGGTCATTATTTCCTTTAATTTTCATTTGCATTCCTTTAATGCGGTTATATGGGATTGTCATTTTTTTTTTCCTCTGGAAACTGCAGAACTTTGGCTAAGCTTTTGGAGTGAAGTGCATTATAATTCATTATATGCAACAGCAGGTAGTATGCCTAACATTTATGATATGGTCTTTTTCTTTTTCCTGTTTCTACTTAATTTTTTGTGCATGGCTTTATGAATTTTCTTTTTATGGCTCAATATATTCGATGGAAATAAGCTCTTCACCCAAATCATTTGTTAATTTTGCAGATGTTCCTTCTGCGGCACCCAAAAGAAAGCATTGGTTGTTTTTCTAGAAAAAAATGGCAGAATGTGAAGTCTTGCAAAACTCATATCTAATGAGGGGTAATTTCTGTTCTGAATTACTTTAATTTTTTTGGTCACATTATCCTTTTACTTTATTCACGTACCATAAAAAAAAAAAAGAACAAGTTCAAAGCATTAATTCTGGCAAGTTGTGGCAGTTTTAGCTGGTGAGGATTGATGCCCTCAAAGTTTCATAGGAAATTAAATGTAAATATGTTTCCTTTTCAAACTCCACTGCCACAGTTATATCAAGCCATACTGGCATTCTAGTTGAAGTCTACTTTTTCACATTTATTCCATCACGTTTCGTCCATCACTCTGCTTCACTCTGTTTGGAGCCTTTTAATTGCTGGTTTTGCAAAATGATGAAAATTTGTCATTGGAGCCTTTAACTGTTATGGCACTGAAGGGTTGAGGTGGTGAGAAAATTTGGCTCAAATTATGAAACTTGAGTGTGTGCAATGTGATGAAATATAAGAATTAACATATTTTAAAGAAGCCTAGGCTAGTAGTAGATCATTACTGTATTTTGCTTTAGCTTGTAAGCTTGTAAGAAACCTACCTAGGTTGTAGCTTATTCTAGGAAGAAATAGGTTTCCTCTTGTGTTGTTTTTATTAGAGGAAATCTTTAACTTATCTTTGTGGGATGGGTTATTAAGGTTTCCTTTATAGGTAGGAAATTATTGAATGAATGAATTGTTCTGATTGAAAATTATTGAAGTTTCCTTATATGAATGAATTATCAAGCCTCCCCCCCCCAAAAAAAAAAAAAATTGATGCTAGTTTTATCACAGGAAAAAAGTATTGATGCTTTATTACATGTGATAATGTATCATGAGTATTGTATTGGCATTAGCTTACTGGAGATTTTGGATCTCATTAAATTTGTATTTTTCCTGCATAATCTTTTTTCATTAAGGCTTTTTTTGCCCTGCTCGCAGCCTTCTTGAATTGAAGCTGGAATCAGAAGAGATAGCGACTCCCCTAGGGTTGGGGCCTTATTCCTCACCACGCATCAAAAGCTTTATTATGCTGAGCCTTAGCACAAATTATATATTAATAGGCCAAAGCTTTTCATTGTTGGGACAGGTTGGGGTATTGCTGGGAGGATATTACAAAGATTTTTGTAAAGCATTAGCAAATTCCTTTTGATCAAGATGATGATTCCTTGTATTTCAAGAGGCGTGGAGGTTATTTTTTTTTATTATTATTATTTATACAGTTACTTATTATTTATGGGCCGAGCCAAGAAAGTTACTTATTTTAGGGGAGCTTATAACATAGAGAATGTGTAATGGACCATTAAAGTCAGCCCATCCATTTGCTAATATAGATGTTCAATTTGTTTTTTTTTTTTTTGAATGAAAACAGTTTCTTAATCACGTAAGATTACAAGCTATTCAAGTCTATAGACAACTTCAATGGGGTGGGGATTGATCAAATGTAGTAACACACAAAGTCATTTTGTCCTTGAGTGGCCAACAATTGGGTACTAGTGTTTGCCTTTCTAAACATGAAATTTAAATCAAATAACGGCAGGCTCATGTTGACTATGTCTGCTCATTTCCCACCTTAATAATACAAGTTAAAGAATGATTTGACTTCAAAGAATATAAATTATATCAAACAGCTAACGACAAAAATATAAGATCATTTAATGGCCAATTTCTTCGTGAAGTTTAGGGAAAATAAAATTCATGAAAATTCATTTGAATGCTTATAACTCAACATGCATAAGCTAATGTCATTTTATAGATGGGAGATTAGATTAGAATTAGGATTGAGAAAGATTGTCCTCTCTGCATAAAGATTGTCAAAACAATATCTTTATGCAAGATTCATGTTAATCTTCTACATATCGTTTCAATTTTATCGGATGTCTCAGAAAGGATAATGTCAACATATTTTTTGTAATAGATATAAATAAATCAAAGACAAATATGCTTTATGTAGTGTGTAACTACTTGTGCACATTTCCTTTGGTACAAATTAAAAGGTTTAATTTTTTTTAATAATATTATGATTTTTATGGATTAATATACGATACTGATTTAGGTTAGCATGAATAATAGAGGATCTCATCTCTTAAATAAATGGCTGAAAGTTTGATTCAACATTTTATTGATGGGAGATTAAATTTTCATTGTGAAAATAATGGATCGTCAAAACAACGTCCTAAAAGAACACAATGATGTGCTATGAGAGTTTCATTATATAATTCTCATATTAGATGGCTTGGATGTATAGATAGGTTTTATGAACGGTTGTGATTGAATAACTAAAATGTTACTTTTTACACAACACTAGCATGTGGCTTACACTTGAATGAATTGAATACGATTTTAATGAAATTATTGTGTCATTAATTTTGTATTGACAAAATGAAATGATAAAACTATCATGAATGGAGAACAAAATTCTTCAATTAATCAATTTAAACAAAGAAACAATGAATCTCAATGTGATGATGTGACTTGGAGATATATTTTACGCCTTGTAGAAGGATGGGTTTGAACAATTAAAACAACATGATTTCAAAACTAATACTCCAAAGTCAATGCCCTTTTTCTGATAATAAAAATTAATGTCATTTTGAAATTTGAACCGACATCTAACTGAATGGAAAAGGTTATGAAACCAACCATTAACATGCAATGTTTTATTTACCATCTTTTTGGGTTTGCAACAAATTTGATTACTTTATTATCTCAATTCATCATTTGATTAATTTTACGGAGCCAATTGAGCTTGTCAATCCAATCCAAATTTAAGAATAGTGATATAATATTATAATACTATAACAACTAATTGTAACTATGGGGAAAAAGCATTTTGTAACTAAGAACTAACATGTACATGACTAAGATTGTATAATCATTTTAAAATAAAATGGTTGAGATTACAAATCAAGAAGTACCTGTAGTGCTTTGATTCCTTATGAGAATAAAATACTAAATCTCTCTTTCTTAACCATTGTAATTGGCTAGCTGACTTCATGGATCAGAGTCTTGAGGCCATTGAATATTTTCCGAGTCTACATCACACATTTTTGTGGTCTTTGTGATCTCCCACTTCTACCACGTCTCTCTACATTCATTTTGTTGATGATGCATTCAGAGTAAACTGAGATGGAAAAAAAAGATATGTAGTTGGAATTGAAACGCCTCTTCCACCAATAAAATTTTAATTAAGGTGTGGTTCCCATTGTAAAACTACTTTTCATGTTCACTCTCATTCTCAATGCACCCTTATATTTATTTTATGAATATGGAGGATCCGAGGGCCTAGTTTTTGACTATCAAGAAGGATAAACAAATGCATCTTCCAAGCGTATCTTATAAGAAATTGTGCCTGTGCGGAGTCGTGGACCCTTATTGTTATGAAGGCTATTCATCCTACACAAGAATAACACATTATTCTCTACAAGTCATATTGACTGGAATAACAAGCTTGTTTGTGTGTTGTTTGTGTTTGGAACAAAATGAAGGGAAGAAATATTCCATGATTTTAATAAAAAGGAATATAAATGATTCAAATAACTAATGGTAAAATTGTAAAATGCTATACTTTTTGGTATTTCATTGATCTGATATCTTTTAAAAGCCAAATGCTTGTGGTATTGACATCATCATCTTCCTCGTCTTCATTTTTATCACCATAAGATTTCATGGGCAATTTTCTCATGAAAGCCAGGGCAAATAAAATTTGATGAAGATACAATTGATGATTCATGGCTCAGCACGCACAAGCTAAAGGCATTTTATAGTGGGAGATTAGAATTAGTGTTGCAAAAACAATGAGCCGTCAAAACAATGTCCTGTGGGAGACTAGAATTAGGGTTGAGAAAACAATGGACTGTTGAAACATCAATGTTATGTCAAAACAATGTGCTATGAGAGTTTCATCAAACGTCTCAAAATTGATCTTATATTAAATGGACTTGGATGTGCAAAGGTTTGTTAGATTCTGCGAATGGTTGAGATTCAACAAAACATTATTTCTGTAAACAGTTGAAACATTATTTCTGAAGCAATATTGGCGTACTCTTTAGGCGTGATATAATGAATTGATAAAACAATGGGCACACAAAACTATGCTGATGAAACATTGTGTTCTGGAAGTTCCATTGAATAGTTCAAATATCTTACGATGAATGGCTTAGATTCATCTAAGCTCTAGGCATGAACCCAAAAAAAAAAAAGCACAAAATATCCGCTTGTAATGAATTAATTAATCAAAAAGGAATAATAAATGTTGAGGTAGTGTGACCTATAGATGTTTTTTGAGTCTTACAAATGATTGGGGTCAATAATTAGTTGTTCTATCAATAATGCCACTTCTCTCACTGGAAAAAGGTCTTGGGTTTAAACCCAATGTTGACATGTTAGTGTGTGTGCATGGGGGTGTGTGTGTGTGTCTCTCTTCCCTATAGGGAAGGGTTGTATTAAGGGTAAAATTTTAATAAAAATGATTAGGATTGAACAATTAAAACAACCTTATTATTTTTTTAATACAAAAAAGGTTTTCTATCCTGAAAAAATAATTATGGTATGCATGAATCTATATAAGATAATATTCTTTTATGCTTGTAATAAATGTATTAAACTTTAGGAAGAATCATACTTAGAGCTCTTAGTTGCAAAGTAATTACACTATAGGCCCTTTCAATTTTAAAATAATTGTCTAGGCCAAAATGCCCTTCTTACAAATAAGATTTTCGTTGAAAAGATGAAAATGTCCCTAGCACAAGTATATGTTTGCATATGTATTACTAGATATTTATTAATTTACAAGTATACGTTCATATATTTACAATTACAGGTTCACATATTTACAATAACAAGTTCATGTATTCATAGTATAATTTCGTATATTTACAACTATACGTTCATACACTTACAAGTCTAGGTTTACAATTAACAAATATGGGAGACTAGAACTAGAGTTTAGAAAACAATGGACCGTTGAAAGTTGAAACATTAATGTTCTATCAAAACAATGTGTCATGGAAGTTTCATCAAACAACTCAAAATTGATCTTATATTAAATTGACTTAGATGTGCAAATGTTTGTTAGGTTTTGTGAATAGTTGAGATTTAGCAAAACCTTATTTCTATGAACATCTAAAATGTTATTTCTAAAGCAATATTGATGTGCTCCTTAGGCTGGTGAAACATTGTGTTCTAGAAGTTTTATTAAACAGCTTGAATAACTTACAATGAACAGCTTGGATTCATCTAAGCGGGGACCACAAAAATATACAAAATATCTGTGTTTTATTAATCAATTAAAAAGAATATTAAATGTCAAGGTGATGTGACCTAGAGATGTTTTTTTGAGTCTTGCAAATTGTTGGGATTGAACATTTTCTTTTGACCTGTGAATTGAACAATCAAAACAACCTTATTTCTATGATAAAAACATATTTTTTGTTCTTGAAAAATAATTATGGTATGTATGAATTTATATAAGATAAAATTCTTTTATGTTTGACATAAATGTATTAAACTTTAATTGGCAGAGAGAAAAAAAATGAATGTATTAGATTGTGATCTTAAGCAATAATGCATCATGCGTTTTGTGACCCCCCCCCCCCCCAAAAAAAAAAAGAAGAAGAAAGAAAGTAGGTGTTCGAAATGAAAATGATCCAAAATAATAAAAGTACACGTGAGATTTACTTTTCAAACTGGTGAGTAATTATGTTATATTTTAAATTTTACATATTAGAATGTTATCCAAGAAATAAAAAATAATATTAATAAGTTTTATAATTTAATTCTCAAATTCAAATTAGTCAACATTCAGCCATTCAATTGCAAAGTGAACTTATAATGATAAGCCCATAACAATCCATTATCACTATTTTAATCACTGAGATCGTTGCAACTGGATGCCAATTCATCCCCGATTTATTCTCATATATTTGAAAAGTCACAACCATTATTATATTCAACTATAATATTATTTAGTAAGTCTATAATATTATAAGGGAAAGTATCCTTTACCTTTTTTATTGAGAGAATAATAAAAAGGTCTCAAAAGAATTAATTAATTTAAGTTAAATTTTAAATGTTAAATTTTAAAAATTTATAATTTTGTTATGATGAATTTACAACTTATATTCAAATTTTAACAGGAAAAATAATTTTTTTTATTCTTTAACCATATTAAAATTTAAAAAATAAGTTGCAAATTCTTCACAATGCAATTGTAAAATTGAGAGATTGAGCTACAAATTTATAGAGTTTTGACATTTGGGAC